GAAGGTATCCATCGAGGTATTCCTCACAATATGGAGCTCTTCAGTACAGCCATAAATGAAGCGAAAAGCTTGAATTGAAGCTGTTGTCAACTGAGGCTTGCAACAGCTTGAAGACATCGTTATCGTCTTGAACGAGGCTAACAAGCTTTTATCTGTTATCTCTTAGTGGTTCTGGAGATTATCTTGCCCAGGTCTCGGATCAGGCTTACCTAGGTTGGAAAGTAAATATTACAGAATTAAGAACTGGAAAACCATAGGTAAGTAAGGGGCCGTGTATAGTGAGGTGACAAGTAAATCTTACTAACTTCTGCTTGAAAAGTCTTTAAGATTTTCCAGTCATCTTACGTATTCTTGAGACAGACAGAAAAGATGAGGATTTTCATATGTATACCTTCTGGGTATCGTTATATGAAGACGGTCCATCCAGAGAGAGATACACGAAGGAGGAAGCTGAGGTAATCAGTCCCGCTCTGTTGACTTGAAAGTCACTGATGGGTTTGTGTTTGATGTGGACTTGCCTTGCATGGACCAATAGGCCTGCTGCAATGTTCCTCCATTTTGATGTTCTTTGATACCCAGTGTTGCACACATGTCTAATTCTCTGATCAGCAATCCTGCCAGAGTGCAGAATATGTATCAGGGTTCCATTTTGATGCTGACCCCCATCCAAGGTAGTACCTGCTAGCTGGTTGCTGTCAACCAGCCTGTGACTTATAGATGTTCCTTGCAGGGTAGTACCTCTTGTTGGTTGCTGTCAGCCGGTCTGCGACTGGAGGATCCTCCATGCAGGGTAGTACCTCCTTGTCTGGTTGCTGTCAGCCAGTCTGCGACTGGAGGATCCTCCATGCAGGGTAGTACCTCCTTGTCTGGTTGCTGTCAGCCAGTCTGCGACTGGTGGATACTCCATGCAGGGTAGTACCTCCCTGTCTGGTTGCTGTCAGCCAGTCTGCGACTGGTGGATACTCCATGCAGGGTAGTACCTGCCTGGCTGGTTGCTGTTAATCAGCCTGCGATTGGTGGATCTTCCTAAACGTTATCTGTTAGTGGTTCCGAGTTATCTTACACGCGGGTCAAGGTACACAGTGGAGCTGCTGAAACCGGTGTTCGCCAGGCATTATCCCGCTTTGGTACCATGACATGTGGCATAAGTCTCTAATTGGCACATATGCTGGGTTCTCGGAAGGGACGTGACTGTGGTGGAGGCAGCAGTGACAATAGAGATGCTTGGAATAATGTTGGTCAAATTACCGACAATATTTTAGGTAAAGGTATTTTGAATAACAATAGGGTTTGTCACAGCCGTAACGGCTTGACAAAGCTCCTGGAGAGCGAAACGTTGCCACAAAATGTCATATTAGTTGCACTTGTGTCCTTTTACGTAACATAAAGGTGCTCGTCTCTCTAGAAAACTAGGCTTACGTTCAATGGTTTCACCATCTGCATGGTTTCACGTTGGTTACAGATTTAGGAAAACACTGCATTACATATTCTAAGAAAAGTCTATTATTCAAAGCACTTCGGGCGGAAATGGACAGTGTTCGACTCGACTGCTGATGTGCTGGAAGCAGTGTCGGACGATCCCTTCCTGGAACTCTTTCCTTTACCGGGGAAAAAGGAAAGGTTCTACTGTGGTTAGTCATACGTCTGGAGGTGAGGTGGTGTCATAGACGTCTCGATCGCGTCTTCAATTCGTGAGGGACCTGAGATTGAGGCAGTAGTGACCTCTTAACACGAGCATAACCTCCAATATGTGAGGAATCTGCAGATCCCAGGATATGTGAATTGTTTTGTCTATGATCGTAAATGCTGCTCATACTATAGGCCTTTTTTTTCAAGGTATTATTGTATACTCGAAATTTTAAATTTTGTCTTCAGCGTGGTGGCTTGGGTGCAAGTTATTGGACGACTAGGAATTTATTTTTCATGAAATACAATGACTTCTGATACTAGTCTGAATGGTCCGTCATGAGTTAAACATCCACTAGTGTGCCCCGGCTAGGTTTTACACCACATTTAAAACACCAAGGATTACTACTTAGTGTACCCCTAGGATAAGATATGCAAAGAGTGTCCTAAAGATTTCTGGAGTGTTGTTCTTATGTGTAGAGGTGTCAGGTAGATCTGTCAGCTGACACAGGTTGTGTTTACATGTGTAGGGGTATAAGGCAGAGTTGTTAGTGGTTGTTTATGGTATTTACATGTGCACACGACTCATTTCCTAGACTAGTGCGTGATGAGAGTAAGACACATGTGCAACATCTGGGTATCTTTATTGTAGACGTTTCGCCATCCAGTGGCTTTATCAATACAAATTCTAGGACATAACTTGAAGACAGTAGAACTATGTACAGAAGATGAGGTAATCAGTCCCTCAACCTAGGAGTAGGTGCGAACAGCACCATAGTCGTGGAGAGTGCTGTTCGCACCTACTCCTAGGTTGAGGGACTGATTACCTCATCTTCTGTACATAGTTCTACTGTCTTCAAGTTATGTCCTAGAATTTGTATTGATAAAGCCACTGGATGGCGAAACGTCTACAATAAAGATACCCAGATGTTGCACATGTGTCTTACTCTCATCTTGTCGGTATTATATACCATTTCGTACACAACTAGACTAGTGCGTAACAGGGTTAGGTAATTGGACACAGATGCTACTAATGTGGCATTTTATTGTGGCAACGTTTCGCTCTCCATGAGCTTTGTCAAGCCGTTACGTTGCCACAGTAAAATGTCACAGTAGTTGCATCTGTGTCCATTTACCGAACATTTTCTCGGTAATTCCACCATCATTAGTAAAAGGGTTCAATTGAGATTGGAATGATGAGGATAGAGAGATTTCCCCGTTGATCTTGGGGTAATTGAACGATACAACGATCTTGGTTGTACATGTATGGTATACTATACATACAAGATGAAGAATTAGACACTAGTGCAACATCTGGGTATCCATTGCAGACGTTTGCCATCCAGGGGCTTGATCAGCCTTGGCGAAGTGGCTCAATATCTCATCTTTTGTATATATATTACTACTGTCTTCCGGTTATGTCCTTGAATTTGTATTGATAAAACCATTGGTTGGAAAGTCTACAATAAAGTTCCCCATATGTTACACATGTATCCAATTCTTCAACGATCTTGATTAATAATAAACTAAGCTGGTAGTGGTTGAAGTATGGCGTAGTCTACAAGTAGTACAAGAAATAAATCACTATCGTGGTTGGAACAATTTACCAACAACCACACTAAGGAGAGAAACCTGATGACGTTTCGGTCAGTTGTAGACCATCATCAGGTCTCAATAGGGGTCCGAAACAGACCGAAACATCGTCATGAGCTCCTCTCCTCAGTACGAGTTTGAGGTGAAGTGATAAAAAGACACACCCAATAAAAGGAGACCTTTGTAAGTACGACCTTTCACGTACATGAGGCTTTATTACGTACTCAAGCCTCCTTTCGCTGTACACGTGTGTCTACTGCTAGAGTGGAAGTAGTGAAAGAAGTGGTGAAGGGGGGGTTGAGGGGGGTGACGCGGATGAATTTACGTGGTTAAATCCAGGTTCTCGGGTCTTTGGTAGCGGGTTAGACGTCAGAACTGGTGTAGCCTAATCACGCAGGTGTGGAGAGATCTTTGAAGACTTGTGGGGATTATGTATGCAAACTATGACAGGGTGGAAGAGAGGGTCGTGAATTCTGAAAGGGTGCAGCGTAGCATTCTTAACTGGCTGCAGAAACTTTGGCCTTACCGGTTAACTAGCTTAAGAGGGCCATTGCGGTCAACGCCCTTCCGTATAATTGGACATTTTACGTGGCCAGTGTCTATCTATTGACGTGCAATGTGGCCAGGAGGATGTAGGGAAGAATTTTCCGGTTTTTGTGGTCGTCTAAGTGTGAATGGTTGCAAGGGAAGGTGACATTACCACTGGGAAGAGGCAGTTTGGGTCTCGTTGGGTTTTTGCAAGCGTGTGGTGTTACATTGAGGAGAGCCTTCAAGAATGAGTGTCTGAGCAGTGTGTATGGTTGTGCAGCGCTTTCCTGCCTGGAGATCTGAAGGAGAGTTTGCAGTTATTACTGGTGATAATGTTCGTGGCTGATGTTACTAAGGCCCGTAAGGTGATAAGAACAGAAGAATGGAGAAGTATTGAAGCAGGTCCACTAGCCCCTTCTAGACAGATCTAGCTGGCATGGGCCTGCTAGCCCATACCAAACAGGTCCTTCAGTTAGCCTATTAACCTATGCTAGACAAGTCTCAATAGGCTTACTATCCTATGCTAAGCAGGATCATTCTCAAATCCAAAGCATAACACTCTGCATGATATATTCACTACATGATATATCCACTATGACGCATCTTTTATTTCAGTATGTATGTCCATCAGTATTTCAATAGACATTCCAGGCTGGTTTGAAGCCTGTCAACAACACGATACTCATTAGAGGCTGAAAACTGCATATCTATATCAGAATTCAACAAAGACTTTAGAAGGAAAATTTGGTCTTTCATATACGTATATTATACATACTGAACAATGAGGCGCTTGTGCAACATCCAGGAATCTTTATTGAGGAAACGTTTAACCAACCAGTGGCTCCTTCAGTCCAAAACACAGAAGGGTGAAAGATGAGAATGACGAAGCTACTGGTTGGCGAAACGTTTCCTTAATAAAGATACACAAGTATTGCAGGTGTCTCATTCAACTTGTCGGCTTTTCTAAACTGTTATATATCTTGTTCATTTTATACAGATCGATATTCTTTTAGTGATATAACATATTCGATTTTTTGGGGGGTATCAAACAGAGGAAATGTATAGAAAATAATATAACAGATAGTCTAAAGGGCACAATACCGCGACTGGAACAGGACCCAAACAACCAGCACATAGGAGAGAGTAGCGTACAACGACGTTTCGGTCCGATTTGGACCATTTACAAAGTCACAGTGTGACTTTGCATAATCTAGAGAAGTTACCCTTCCCAAAGACACTGTTTTGTTACGTAAACAAACACTGGAGGTGCAGGTGTCAGTCTTCGGGAAAATTGTGAGGTGTTGACGCCCCGTCATAACTCACTGGTGAATTACTCGAAATTGATGGTGCAAATTTTCTCCGGCCATTGAAATGTAAATCGTGAGTTGTGTGTATATATTCTGAATCCATGTATATATGTGTGTGTATTCTGAATCCACGGATGTATGTGTTTGTGTGTATTCTGAATCCACGGATGTGGGCAGACATTTTTGTTACGAGGGGAGACCAGTGTGTTGCAAGGCTACATCCGCAGTGTGTTGCTGGGCTACAGCCGCAGTGTGTTGCTAGGCTACAAACGCAGTGTTGCTAGGCTACACGGCAGTGTTGCTGGGCTACAGCCGCAGTGTTGCTAGGCTACAAACGCAGTGTTGCTAGGCTACACGGCAGTGTTGCTGGGCTACAGTCGCAGTGTTGCTAGGCTACAAACGCAGTGTTGCTAGGCTACACGGCAGTGTTGCTGGGCTACAGCCGCAGTGTTGCTAGGCTACAAACGCAGTGTTGCTAGGCTACACGGCAGTGTTGCTGGGCTACAGCCGCAGTGTGTTGCTAGGCTACAAACGCAGTGTTGCTAGGCTACACGGCAGTGTTGCTGGGCTACAGTCGCAGTGTGTTGCTAGGCTACAAACGCAGTGTTGCTAGGCTACACGGCAGTGTTGCTGGGCTACAGCCGCAGTGTTGCTAGGCTACAAACGCAGTGTGTTGCTAGGCTACACGGCAGTGTTGCAAGGCTACAGCCGCAGTATGTTGCTAGGCTACAAACGCAGTGTTGCTAGGCTACACGGCAGTGTTGCAAGGCTACAGCCGCAGTATGTTGCTAGGCTACAAACGCAGTGTTGCTAGGCTACACGGCAGTGTTGCTGGGCTACAGCCGCAGTGTTGCTAGGCTACAAACGCAGTGTGTTGCTAGGCTACACGGCAGTGTTGCAAGGCTACACCCACAGTGTGTTGCAAGGCTACATCCGCAGTGTTGCTGGGCTTCAACCGCAGTGTGTTGCTAGGCTACACCCGCAGTGTGCTGCAAGACTACACCCGCAGTGTGGTGTTAGGCCACACCTGCAGTGTTGCAAGGCTACACCCGCAGTGTGCTGCTAGGCTATACCCGCAGTGTGTTGCTAGGTTACACCCCCCGCAGTGTGTTGCTAGGTTACACCCGCAGTGTGTTGCTAGGTTACACCCTCAGTGTGTTGCTAGGCTATACCCGCAGTGTTGCTAGGCTACACCCTCAGTGTGCTGCAAGGCTACACCCGCAGTGTTGCTAGGCTACACCCGCAGTGTATTGCTAGATTACACCCGCAGGGTTGCTAGGTTACACCCGCAGTGTGTTGCTAGGCTACACCCGCAGTGTTGCTAGGCTACACCCGCAGTGTTGCTAGGCTACACTCGCAGTGTTGCTAGGCTACACCCGCAGTGTATTGCTAGATTACACCCGCAGGGTTGCTAGGCTACACCCGCAGTGTTGCTAGGCTACACCCGCAGTGTTGCTAGGTTACAACCGCAAGTGTTGCTGGGCACAGCATCACCATTGGCATTACGTCTCAGTTTTAAATTTGCAGTTATCCACCTCATTTGTTTCTGGCCTTATTGTGTTCTATAAATACTGCATGTAACATTGTCTTTCACATTTGTCTTACGTATTATGAGAACTTTAGGGAAATGTGTTGTAACTAGTGTTCCTTTTGAGTTCCTCATTTTTCCGTATCTGAGAAGTAGGCCTAGTCTAGCATGGTCTAGTAGGCCTAGCCTAGCATGGTCTAGTAGGCCTAGCCTAGCATGGTAGAGTACGAACCTACGTAGAATGGTCCAGCAAGAACCTACGTAGTATGGTCCAGTAAGAACCTACGTAGTATGGTCCAGTAAGAACCTACGTAGCATGGTCCAGTAAGAATCTACGTACATGGTCATGAACCTACCAGATGGTCCAGCAAGAACCTACGTATAGTCCCGTGGTCAGCATAAGAACCTACGTAGTATGGTCCAGTAAGAACCTACGTAGCATGGTCCAGTAAGAACCTACGTAGCATGGTCCAGTAAGAACCTACGTAGTATGGTCCAGTAAGAACCTACGTAGTATGGTCCAGTAAGAACCTACGTAGTATGGTCTAGTAAGAACCTACGTAGCATGGTCCAGTAAGAACCAACCTAGCATGGTCCAGTAAGAACCTACCTAGCATGGTCCAGTAAGAACTTACGTGTAGCATGGTCCAGTAAGAACCTACGTAGCATGGTCCAGTAAGAACCTACCTAGCATGGTCCAGTAAGAACCTACGTAGCCTGGTCCAGTAAGAATCTCTAACATTTCTGAGACTTATCTAAGCCTCTCACCTAAGATTAATCTTTCTTGACTCGTTATTTGTGAAGCACAGACGTTTCGCTCGGTGTAGAGCTTTATCCTGTTTGTTAAGAGTTTATAATTTAGGCCTAGTGGGTAGATTGGAAGATAGGCTGAGTGTGGGTAGTGTGATGGATTAATGATGGAGGTGGTGAGGGAAGGTGTGTGCAGTTGCTAACACCACCACCAGAGGTCAGCAGTTAACAGGTAACATGCTGATGGTCACCTCGTCTTCCTCTTGTCCCTCATTTCCTTCATCTCTTCTCCCTCCCGCGTCTCCCTCTCTTCCTTCACCTCTTCTCCCTCCTCACTTCCTCTTCTCCCACTTCACTTCCGCTTCTCTCTCTCTCTTCCTTCACCTCTTCCCCCACTTCACTTCCTCTTCTCCCTCTCTTCCTTCACCTCTTCCCCCACTTCACTTCCTCTTCTCCCTCTCTTCCCTCACCTCTTCTCCCTCTCTTCCTTCACCTCTTCTCCCACTTCACTTCCGCTTCTCTCTTCCTTCACCTCTTCCCCACTTCACTTCCTCTTCTCCCTCTCTTCCTTCACCTCTTCTCCCTCCTCCCGCGTCTCCCTCTCTTCCTTCACCTCTTCTCCCTCCTCACTTCCGCTTCTCCCTTTTCCTTCACTTCCTCTCCCCCTTCTTCCTCTTCCTCCTCTCCTGTTATTATAATCATGGGGAGCGCTAAACCCGTACGATTATACAGCGCCTGTGGAGGGGGGCATGGAAGGTATTTAGGCTCATTTCAGGGAACTGGAGCACAGATCCAGTTCCCTAGATCAAGAGCCCCTCACCCCTTGAGGGGTCCTGACTAACAATTTTCAACTAACTCACAAAGTCACAATACCTGGAGCAAGTCACGGATAAGCCAAGAGTACTACTACTACTACTACTACTACTACTACTACTACTACTACTACTACTACTACTAATACTAATACTAATACTAATACTACTACTACTACAGCCAGAGTAGGAACATTGAACGTGTTCCTTTACACTGGTTGTCTATGTTCACTCATCAGTAAAATGTCATTGATGTCAGCTATGGTCTGTATACCTTGTACATGTACTTGTAGTAATAAAGATATTATTTTTATTTAAAGGATTGAAAAAATGTTCTGTGAAACTCCACGGACGAAACACACCAGATAATAATTGAAAGTTCTGGAGTCTACCTGGAGGGTATTCCCGGTGGCCTGGTGGCTAAAGCTCCCGCTTCACACACGGAGGGCCCGGGTTCGATTCCCGGCGGGTGGAAACATTTCGACACGTTTCCTTACACCTATTGTCCTGTTCACCTAGCAGCAAATAGGTACCTGGGTGTTAGTCGACTGGTGTGGGTCGCATCCTGGGGGACAAGATTAAGGACCCCAATGGAAATAAGTTAGACAGTCCTCGATGACGCACTGACTTTCTTGGGTTATCCTGGGTGGCTAACCCCCCGGGGTTAAAAATCCGAACGAAATCTTATCTTATCTCTTATCAACGCCCCCGTGGCTCGGTTCACGACCAAGCCTCCTGGTAGATCAGGGCCTGATCAATCAGGCTGTTACTGCTGGCCGCAAGTGTTTATTGTCTGACCATCATGGTTGCCATGCTAGAAATCCATGCTCTTTGTGGGGGTGCAAATAGCTGGAGAACAGTGGTGATGGAGGTTGCTAGAGGATCAGTTACCTGGAGAGAGTTCCGGGGGTCAACGCCCCCGCGGCCCGCTCTGTGACCAGGCCTCATTGCATACCTTAAATATCCTTGGTAGTACAGACACGAACGTTATTCCAGTGTAAAGAATCACTGATATAGCCTCACTCTACGAATATATCAATGAAGCAGTCGCAAAAACAGGTACACAGGAGCGGTGACATGGCTCCTGCATTATTATAAATCCGTAGGAATTATACAGCGGCTCAAATTAGGGAACTGGAACACAGATCCAGTTCCCTAGATGAAGAGCCCTCTCATCAGCGTGAAGGAACCTCCCTTCAAGGGTCGATTTCTGCAACCATATATAGTTGAGATAGGTGAGTATACACAGGCGATAGCACTGACGTCCCATATTATCAAATCTTCCTGTGTTTAAACAAGATTGTAGGCGTGTGAGCAGGTAGCTGCTGCCTCTCACACTTGCTGGACCGATTACAAGATGCTATTGTATGATCTGAAAGAAAATGTAGTGTATACAGACTGCCCGAGTCTTGGATGAGTGTAACCAGGTTACACAATACACAAATAACCCGCACATAAAAGAGAGAAGCTTACCAGGTTGTGTAGGTATAACGACACCATATAAGTAAAAATCACTAGTTTGGACATTCAAATATAGATCATATAATATGATAAATCTTTGCAAAAAGGTAAGATTATCAGATAAAAATTGGTGTGCGATACTGACAGGTTGAAAAAAAAGAGAAAATAGCAACACTAGGATATTGAAAAAATCGGGCCTGGGAAATATTATCTGCTCATAAAGGTTTAAATACTATTTCATCGACACCATGCCCAGCCCTTCTAGGGTTGGGTAGGTGCCTGAGCCCGAGCTTTCAGCTCACAAGACTGTCATTCCCATTAGTCCTCTTGGGGCGGGGATGGCAGACCAGAGAGGCCTAGCTTGTGGCTAGGCCTGGGGACAGTTGGTCCCAAAGATGAGGAGGTGCTTGTGCCTCCTCCCATGGGAGACTTAGGTCTCAGACACTCCCTAAAGAGGGAGCCAAGGCCGGGCCACCACTTGGAAAAGGCCCTGGCCGGGAGAATACCGGCGAATC